CCGCCGTTTGCCCCAACACAAATATGTTAATTTCACACTCGAAGCTGCGGGGCTGCATTTTGACTCGCGGCTTTGCCCGATTTCCTCTGCAGTTTCGTGATCCTAGTTTTTGAGGATCACGAAACTGCGGAGGGAATCGCGCAAAGCTGTGGGTCAAATGCAGCCCTGCAGCCTCGGGTGTGAAATTAACATGTTTGTGTTGGGACAAACGGGGCTGCGCTGCAAGGCAGCTCTAGTCCGAAATCGCCCTAAGTCTCTTCCTGAGATCCGCTACTTCAGCAACAATCGACACAAAGGTTTTTAGCGGAACAGATGCGTTATCTTCATTATCGACACACACTTTTCCCTTTGTTCTCTCAATTGCCCATTTTGAAAAACAGGAAAGGCTTTAAGGTTGACACCCCATCAGGTTCATCACCATCTCTGATAAACAATTCTGCATGGGTCTTCTGGTGGGTCAGGCGGTCTCCAAACCAACATACCTTGAAAAACTGGAGCCTCTCTTTATTTCTACCAAATTCCACCTCCTGGTTTTTTAACACAGTTTCGGGCCTAAGAGAAGGACAAAGAGAAACAGCAGATAAAAAGTTAACAGTTGCCTTGCTAACTGAGGAGTTTGGGAATGGTTTCGACGTAAGAAATGAAACAGCAAATATCTCCATCCCGTACAAATGTGTCATCCTAAGGAAGGCCAGCATCTTGTCAAGAGTATCGCAAGTGACAACTGTCACAGCTCTGATCTGCTTCAGGCAAGTGAAGCAAATATGAAAGGAATAGGAAAGGAAACCTGACTGTAAGATCGCACTGCCACTGAGGGAAGGAGTGCACTTTCTAGCAGGATTCTTAGAGGAAGCTAACCTCAGAGACACTAGGAAATCAAAAGGTGGATGACTCATGTGACACATGACCAGGAAAAGCATTCTTTCTTTGCATCTGGCCCTTCGTACTGCAGATCAGAAAACAGTAAGGCAATACAGTACGGTTTTTGACATTAGGAACTCCCAGCTGTTAAAACAAACTTCTTGTATCCCTCTATGCTGACTCCTGAATAACAGCCTCAAGATTTCCCAGATTTTGCTTAATCGCAGTAAGAGATTCTCAATATAACGGCATGTAACTAACCATCGAGTAAATAGGGTGAATGTTAAGTTAGGATGCAATTCTGTGCAGGGTTTTGCTATCGGTTTATTAAAAACTGAACCTCTTTGCTGTCAAATTTCATTGATTTTGGTAATCACACAGGACCACAACTCTTTCAACAATCTGTGCATCATTCTGAAGGTGTACATGCTAATGTCACACTCTCTCACACACACACATTCTAACACAACGGAATGGAACTATTACTTTCAACCTGCCGACACGTTCTGGAGACATAAGAACATCAGAAGAGCTCTGCTGGATCAGACCAGTGGTTCATCTAGTCCAGCATTCAGTCTCACGCTGTGGCCAACCAGTTTCTTTGGAGGGCCAACAGCAAGGCAGAGAGGCCAAGGCCTTCCCCTGATGTTACCTCCTGGCCAGTGTTCCCCCCAAGCTGAGTTAGTGTGAGCTAGCTCACAGTTTCTTAGCCTCCAGCTCACACGTTTGTCTTAGCTCAGGAAGGATGGCTCCAGAGCAAACCAATCTATGCAGTAGCCAAATCGCTTGCTTGCAACTTTAATGCCAGTAGTTCACAAAGTAGAATTCTTGCTCATGAGACTCCTCGGCTTAGAGGAAGCATTGCTCCTGGCTCTGGGATTCAGAGGATGACTGCCTCTGAAGGTGGAGGTTTCCTGTAGTCACTTTTAAAACCATTTATGCCTTTGGCCATCACTGCATCCACTGGCAGCAAATTCCACATCTGAATCGCTCATTGTGTAAAGTAGTACTTCCTTTTATCCGTCCTGAACCTACTGCCCATCGGCTTCATCGGATGCCCTCGAGTTCTAGTCTTTTAGGAGAGGGAGAAAAATTCCTCTTTGCCAGTTCTATCCGGCAGAGGCTCTACACCCCTGAGACATGGCCCCTCTCCCAAACGAATAATATTAAGTGTTGCTAAGTCACTTCTGACTCATGGTGATGCTATGAATGAATGACCTCCAAAATGTCCTGTCATTAGCAACCTTGCTCAGGTCTTGCAAACGGAGGGCCTTTGTGGCTTCCTTGATGGAGTCCGTCCATCTAATGTTGTGTCTCCCTCTTCTCCTGCCGCCTTCCGCTTTCCCTAGCACTGTTGTCATTTCCAGTGACTCTCGTCTTCTCAGAGGGTGTGCTCAGACGGCGTGCGGAGAGTGGGTTCAACTGCTCCGGTTCTGACCGGGTTATATTTGATCTGGATAATTGTGATCACACTTACCTCCCTTATCCCGCCTCACCGCGCAGTCATGTCGCTCCCTGGCATGTGTCGGCGGGCCCCCCCCCAGTTTGCGCATGCGCATAACCACTCATCCATAGAAGGGGGGGAAACTATCACGGCGCACGCACAAAACCACCAGGGTGAATCAATCCAACCCCTCCAACAAAAGACTTCCCTTTAAATGTTTGACACGAAAATGGCCTCCGTGAGATCCCGAACTCAACTAAACTCTAAAACAAGTGACTGCTTAAATGTCGGTTTTCTAAACACGGTGGCGGAGCTCCACCTATGCGCGCACCGCCAACGCATTTAAAAAATGGCGGGCAAAAAACCGACACATACGGGAAAACTGCTCTGTTTCAAGAACAGCTGTGCCAGAGTTATGACTTGCTCAAGGAGGGAAATGCGGCTTTAAACAGGAGAGCTGAGAAAACACCACTTTGGGACCTGGTGACAAAATACTCTGGGTTAAAGCGGTTTTGAGCTGGAAACCAACGGCTGGGGACGGAAGGCAGGTGTTCACTGTGTGATCGTGCATATAAAATCCGTCGCTGAACCGTCACGACACCACAACAAACGGCACGTCTGAATACACCCATCATGTGACAAAAGCACGACAGCCTCAATTTGGTCATTTTAGCTTCCAGGGAGAGTTCAGGCGCGGTTTGATCTAGAACCCACTTCTTTGTCTTTTTGGCCGTCCATGGCATCTGCCAAACTCTCCTCTGAGCCCACATGTCAAAGGAATCAACTTTCTTCCTGTAAGCTTTCTTCATTGTCCAACTTTCACACCCATACAGAGAAATGCTCCCTCTAAGCTGTGGAGTCTCGTGAGCAAAAATTCCACTTTGCGAGCGACTGGCAGTAAAAGTTGTGAGTGAGCGATTTGGCTGCTGCATACACTAGTATGCTCTGGAGCCCTCCTCCCTGAGCTAAAACAGAAATGTGAGAGCTGGAGGCTAAAAAACTGTGAGCTAGCTCACTCTCATTCAGCTTAGAGGAAACACTGGTGGGGACAACTATGGCATGAATTATTTTGACCTACTACTAATACATTAAGTAAAAAACGGAAGGTGCGACTGTCATTAGCAATTGGTGTTATCTGAAACAGCATCTGATTTTTAGCTGCACGGTAAACTTCGCAGAATAGATCTACCCTCAAGGGACATCGGCAGAACGAAAGCGCCCTCAAGCAACTTACTCAGGCACTGGCTGAAGATGAAAAGGACACAACAGAGGAGTGTTCTCGATCTGCACCGAGAGCGAATTACGACTCGATTCGCCATCGCAGGGCCCTCTGCAGCTGGCCTGGCTTCTGCACGGAAGCTTCCGCGGTGCTTTAAGCGGAGAAAGTTTTGCCGGCGGCCTCTGCAGATCCCCACCTCCGGGATTGGGAGTATTCTGTATTGCACTGTCATTAAAAAAAAAAACGTGGAAAGGAATTTTAATTACTGGTCAAGGTAAAGGTTCTCCTTGCTCGAAAGCCAGTCCAATCCAACTCTAGGGTTGCGGTGCTCATCTCCGTTTCCAAGCTGAAGAGCCAGCGCTGTTCGAAGACATTTCCGTGGTCATGTGGCCAGCATGACTAAACGCCAAGGCACACAGAACGCTGTCACCTTCCCACCAAAGCGGTGCTTACTTATCTACTTGCAGTTCCTTGCTTTCGAACTGCTAGGCTGGCAGGAGCTGGGGGGCCAGAGACGGGAGCTCACTCTGACACGTGGCACTTGGGTCTCGAACTGCCGAGCTACCGACCTTCCGGTCTGCAGTTCGGCATCTTAACCTCTGAGCCACCGCGACCCCTGGGCATAAGTAATTACTAGGCATAACTAAAGGTAACGATGTGCGCACACACTTTTAAGAAAGAGTTTACAGGTTCAAGTCAGCATGTGGACTTGTGAGCCAAAGACCTACTGGAATTTAGTGGAGCGTAACGGTTAAGGGTGCTGGAGGAGGATCTGGAAGACCCAGTCTGAGCCCCTCCCCGAGGGGTTACGTTGGACCAGTCACAAACTCTCAGCCTTAACGACCTCGCAGGATGAAGTTGGAATCCAGCGGCACCTTTAAGACCAACAAAGTTTTATTCAAGGTGAAAGCTTTTGTGTGCAGGGAAACGTCAGGAGTGTGCACGCATGTGAAAGCTTATCCCTTGAATAAAAGTTTGCTGGTCTTAAAGAAGGAGGAGGAGGAGATTGAATTTATACCCCACCCGCTTCCGGTCGGGGTAAAATGGTGATTTGACGCACCCTGTAAGTGCTCAGGGTGGACGGTGGTTCCTTTCAGCAGTTTGGCAAATTCATTTGTCCAATGCGGCTTCCCCCAGGCAGGGGGAATGACTGGCAGGCATTAAGACCCAGGTG